TGTTCAGTCTGACTATTCGTTTCAGGATGTCTTCCTGACGACATGGTCAACCTGGTTTCAAAGACTTCCATCAATTTTTGCCATTGTATACTAGTAAACCGAACATCTCTATCTGATACGATGGTTTTGGGAAATTCATACTTAGAGACCCATCGCATTTGAAACTTTTGAATGACGAGTTGAGCTTCAACAGGCAAAGGAATGAACATAGCATACTTAGAGAATCTATCGACAATGACCATTACCTGACTGTTGCCATTTCGACTTATAGTGAGACTCATAAAGTCAATGAAAATTGACTCACCTTACTCACTTGGAATTGACAGTGGTCTCAACAATAGTCTCATTGAATTCTTGTGTGAGGGTTTGTTCCTCTTACATACAAGACAAGTCCGCACATACGTTAGTACATCTTCGTTCATTCCTTTCGATTCAAACCGTTCACGTACATCGGCATACGTCTTCTTAGGACCAAAGTGACCTTCCGCATCATGACATTCCCGGATGATTGAACTCTTAATTGGTTCCAAGTGAGAAACACACAATCGTTCTTCGGTTTTATCGAGTAAGAAAAGTAGACCTTCAGTCATTCAATATTTTGGAAATAACTTAAGGTTATTTCGTAGAGTCTCAATGATAGAACTCCCAATGGGATCATTCCCATAACCTTGGTGGAGCTATTCTTTCAGTTCGTTTTTCGATATCCAGATAGGAGAAATATGCACGTCTAAACAAAGCATCCGCAACCACGTTCGACTTACCTTCAATAATTTTCACCTCAAAGTCAAAGGTATCAAGGAATGCGGACCACCTTACCAACTTGTCGGAGAGCTTAGGCTGAGTCTTGATCCACTTCAACGTAGATTGGACACAATAGAGTCAATAGACAGTGAAACGTCTCCCCAACAGGTAGTGCTTCTAGGTATCTAGTGCAACTACTAAGGCATACATTTCCCTTTCATATATGAAATTGACCACTTTTTTTTACGGAAGTCTTCTGGATATAAAATCAATAGGTCTATAGCCTTTACCGTCATCTTGCTGTAACACTGCCCAAGTCTCATACTTACTTGCGTCAGTTGTGACTATGAAAGGAAGAGAAGGGTTAAGAATCTTTCGGACAGGGTAGTGAGTCAAAGTAGGTTTTAACTTTCTAAATGACGACTCACAATTTTTATCCCACAACCAACGTTTTTAATTTTTCATTAATATTCTCATAGAAGCAGCTATGAAGGAAAAGTTTCTAACGAACTTCCTATAGTAGCTAACACATCATAGGAATGATCTTAGTTCAGATAAGTGTCGTACCCCCGTTCACCGTTCACGGGATCGGTGAACGCGAGCCGGCGACCGGTCACGTTTTTCATGACCGGTTGTAGTTCACGGAGTTCACGCACAGCGGGAACTCTGTTTTTTTTTTTTTTTTTTGCTGGTAGTAAGGTGTTTTTTTTGCATAGGTGTATGGTCCATGTCAATGGGCACCTGCCCAAATTTTTTTATTTATTTTTTATCAGAATATATATATATATATATATATATATATATATATATAATATGTATATATATATATTTGAAAAAAAAATAAAAAAAATAAAAAAATAAAATGAGCTCGGCTATGTTTGTTATAGCTTCCATCGGCTGTACCCCCGTTCTGAGGGTGTTTTGGGGCCCTACAAAAAACAGTGACTGACGACATCTAACACGGCGCAAGCGTCATACAACCGAAAAAAGAAAGGTCGGGCCTCATTTCCCGCCAGGATGGTTGGCCGTCCGTTTCGTGGTGCCATAAAGCACAACGCGCAACGAAGGCCATCATTCATTGCCTTTCATTGGGCAGTGACCGTTGGTGCATGATAGCGAGAGAGAGAGAGAGAGAGAGAGAGAGAGAGAGAGAGAGAGAGAGAGAGAGAGAGAGAGAGAGAGAGAGAG